CCTTGTTCGGCTTCTTATCTTTCTCCTTCAACAAGTGTTCGTACTTGGAAACCCGTGCGTTCAACTGAAAGAGATCATCAAATGCTTGTCCTTCAAATCTTTCTTTAAGGTTGAACCTCAAGCCATTAAAAGCCAAATCCGTGAACTTCTTTTCGGTAAGTGACGTTAAACATCGGTTTCTGGATTTCTTGAAACGTGCAATAAACTGATCTACCGTTTCGGTACTATATTGATACATCCTGGCCAAATCGGCTACCGTTACTTCTGGTACTGTTCGGTAAAATTGAGAATGGAACTGCCTTTCCATCTCCGTCCATGTCTCGAATAGAATTCGCATGCGGATTCGTATACCAAGTAAACGCTTTTTGACAAAGACAAGTGGGAACAATCTTAACCTTAAATACTCATTAGTTCCGGCTTCTCCACATTGTGCTAAGAATCGACCCACATGTTCCACAGTTGACTGATCTTCTTCTCCTGTAAATACAGCAAAATCTGGCATCTTGAAACCCCTCGGATATGGTATATTGTCAACCCAATCGGGATGTGGTTTCCTATACACTGGCCTTGGCATTCCTCTTTCTGCTCCCAATTGTTGCATTACCAATTCTGCAACTCTATCTGGGTTCCATGGCCTTAAATTTTGCTGGCCTACCCAAGGATCTTGACCTCTAGGATCGAACTGTTGCGGTCGATTCACCCCTTGCTGCTCTACGTTGAAATTAACAGGCAGTGGTGGTCTATAAAGAGGATTTTCTATCACATGAGGATATGGTTGAGGCGCAGGTGGTCTGATATGGTCAATATTAGGCATATTCACTGGTAGAGGTACATTCGTCCCTGATGGTGCATTAGTGGTCACAGGATTAATCAAATTAACCTCATTTGAGGCATTTTGAGGGAAATTATAAGCACTCACACCATTCACAAGGTTTATAGGGGTAGGATTCTCTGGCCTTGGTATAATTCTAACAGGAGGTTGAGAATTTGATCCCCCACTACCATTATATCCAACATGAAGAGGTCTCGATGTTGATGGGAATGATGTTGTCCCCGGAGGATTTACATAAAAGGGTGGAATTTGAGAAGATGAAGTGGGACGCGATATTACCTCATTTATAGCATTGATCACCATGGGCTTTATCACATCAGTTACATGTCGCACCATATGATTGGTAAGATCGTTCTGCTGCTCCTCAAACATCCTTCTTATCGTGGCTACCAAGGTGTTATCTGGTGCCAACACACGGGCTTGTTCTTCAGTTAATTGTCGAGGAATGTCGGCATTCTCCTCTACTTGATTTGCTGCAGAATGTTCAGAACGTGCTTCATCAACTGGATTGTTGATGTTGCCGACCGGTATTCCTTCAGATTGCCTAGTTCTCACCATTTCTCCAAATCTTACCACGCGTGTCCCACTGGGCGTACCAAAAAGATGTTCGCTCGTTTTGCGACGAAGAATATCCTTCACCGAAACTGTGATTTTCGGTTTTTTATTAAAGTAGGTTCTGTGGCTTGATTTCTAGGAATATCGTGGCGAAAAAACAGAGTATAGTGCTGGGTTATGTGGAAGCGGGTAGAAATTGAGTGGATTGAAAATGGATCTGGGATCAACGAGTTCCAAGCTACATTACAATACTCCTACGAAAGCGGTAAAGGGCTTGAAGGTTAACTAAAGCTACAGGAAGCTGTAAACGCAGGAAGTAAAAGTGCAAATGAAACTAAAGTGCATATAAACTTGAGTGTTTTTGCATTCTTGTGTGTGTGTCCTCTTCTTCTTTCCTCTGAGTACATATACCTCCTCCTACCCTGTAACTGCTTGTCGGTTACTTCTTTGTTTTCAAACTTTGAATTTTGGCGCTTTCAATAACTGCCTTATCTACCCACGTTTTCCAATTTCATTGTCCACTAAAACTTGATCTCAACTGCTGGGATAACTTCCAATTTGGATAAATGATCTCCCACGATCTGCTCGTGTTTACTATCTCCACTTCTTGCTCATAACTTCCTGTTGTCACGATTCACGTGGCTGAGTCGTGATCTTGCCGATTTTCGGTAGCTTCAACATTTCCCGAAATGTAAACTTTTCATGTTTCGGTAAAATTACCGATTCTCTCCAGTCACAGAGTTCGGGACATGGTGCCACTCACGCTTACTACATTCCCGAATTTTATCCAAACGTATTACGACTGAGCTCCATTGTCCATCGGATTTTGACATTAAACCGACGTGACATCCATGCCGATTTTGGTGTAAACAAGTACAAATATCGTATTGTGACAAGTGGCCACGCAAAACTTGATATCTTACTGCAGCAACCACAATATAGACTAAGTAAATACTAAATGCTCTAATAGTTGTTCTCTTGTGTATATATAGCATAGCAGGTCCTCTCTCTAAACTATAATCGCACTTCTAAGTGCTTACAAAGAATCTCTCACATGGTGTCTCTCATCTAAACAAATGTCTTCACTCCAAGTGCAACTTTTCTCGTGTATTTACAAATCGATTCATCACTCTCGCTGTTTCTTAGGAACAACACTTAAATAGGTATTACAAGATTATAGAAAAGAAGAATTCCAAAAGTTCTACAAAACTCAAATACTTTTGTTATTGCCCAAGACAAACTTAAACTTACTTCTGGCTGATTTTTCTCCTATATACAGAGCTCCAAATTCAAGTGGGGCACTAGAATCACGTAGTCATTATGTCCATATAATTCTTTGCAAAAATCTCACCAAAATTCCCTGAAAAACACATTTAGAAACTTGTCTCAATCTAGACTGTCAATCAGATCTTTTATTTAATGGCACATCAAATCCAAACATGGATACTCTAATAAGAAATTAGCAATGGGTCAATCGAGGTAGGGCTCGCGACATTGGAGACACCCTAGTGCCCCGACCGGGGTTCATCTAGGCCACACTCGAGACCCTAGCCGCCGCACCTGGGTCCGTCGAGGTAGGGTACAAGACACCAGTGCCCGTGCCCTCGACTAATATCAAGGCTGGGCCAAGGTTCTTCAAGACCGTGCTCGAGTCCATTAAGGCTGGGCCCCGGAGCCTAGTGCCCGTGCCTGGGTCCCCAACTTCCGAGCCCGTGTCCTTCAAGGCTGACTGGAGACTCTTGTGCCTGTGTGCAGGTTCCCTACGCTCACACCTCTATCCATCATTGCCGGGCCCAGCCTTGGACGTCGAGGACTGCGGCTTGGCCTTAATGGACTCGGGCATGGGCACCAAGGTCCCTAGTCTGGGCACGGCGGATTGGGTTCCAGGTATTGAGTTCGAGGCTTGGCCTTGATGGACCTAGGCCCAGGCACCAGTACCAGAGTCCTAAGCCTGGCCTCAATTAACCCAGGTCCGGGCACCGGGGTCCCAATCCCAAGCATTGGGTTATAGGGCTCGACCTTGATAGACCTAAGCCTCAGCCCCTAAGACGTGTGCCTGGCCCTTATAGACCTAGGTCAAGGCACTAGGGAGTTGGACGCGGGCACCAAGTTCTTGGACTTGATTTTAATGGACTCAAGACCAGTGCCCATGCTCATGCTTGGGAGTTGGGGATCCGAGCTTGATACCCTGGTGCCCATGTTAGGTTTATTGGCAACCCATATGCAAGTAACTAACGCTTGAATAGTGGACGTATGTACGTTCATACCTAAGTACATACAAAGGGTGGTTGGGGGTTTGTTGGGGCTCCCAAGTTCCCCAGTGGAGGTCATCATCATCCTCTAGCGCCATTCAGTAATAGTATGTTTGTTCAATATCATGAAAAATCTTAAACTGGTATATTTATGATAAATTTACCCCAAATTAATTTTTTACCCCCGAAAAACCCCAAACTGCTATACATGTGATAAATTTACCCAAAAATAATTTTTTGACTACGAAAAATCATAAACTGGTGTGACAAATTCACCTAAAACTAATTTTTTGATCACAAAAAAATCCAAATTGGTATACATGTGACAAATTTACCTCAAACTAATTTTTTGACCATCAAAAACCTCAAACTGATAATCCTGTGATAAATTTACCCTCCGTTAGTAGACCAATTTAGGATTTTTCGTGGTATTTACCCTATAGATTTCCATGTGGACTTGCCACGTCACCATATCATGTCACCATGTGTCACCCACATCAGCAAATTCAACAGTAAAATTTGACAGAAATTAACGCAGGCTAAATTTGTCACATGTGTATCAATTTAGGATTTTAGGTGGTAAAAATATTAGTTTAGGGGTAAAATGTTCACAAATGTACTAGTTTGGGGTTTTTTTTATTAAAAAAATTAGTTTGGAGTAAAATTGTCACGGATGTATCAATTTGAAATTTTTCATGGTATTAACCCTAATATGTTTTAACTTTCTGTAATTTCCATGTCCTACGGATGGGAAAGTTATCCTACTATTTATACCTTGGATTTTATATTGCAAATTGCATTCGTATTAGTTGACCTTACATAAAAAAAATTTGAAATGTGTCACCGAACAAGAATAGGATAATTCATATTGTAGCTACCATCACTATCAAAAGCCCACTCTTAATTTAAAAGTTCATTTGGTTGGTAGAAATGTTTTCAATTTTTAGTGGGATCTACTAAGTTTACCATAAAACCTATCAATATCGCGATTTCAATGGATTTAAGTGCATGCAAAAAATAATTCATTCATCATACGGAAACAAATAAGTTTGGCTCATACATGCCTACCTACATTGTGTGGTAACCGTGATAAATGGGTCGTTCTGAAAATTACAGCAACCTAATTTCGTCCATTTTTTTTTCAAGGTTTTGTCTATTGGATCCACCTCGGGGTCAATCCAAACTCGCTGGATAACACTGGGTTAAAAAAACTCGTCGTACATATATTTTTCTCTTAGCGAACACGTAAACCGGGGCCCCTCGCTGTGCAAATTGCGACATGGGGCATGGCCAACGACAAACGACAGGTCTTCGTCAACTACCACTTTTGTACTGTATCACTCAAGAATCTCTCTGACCTTTTCGTTCATCTTATTCTCCATTATTTCTTCAAAGACCGAAAGCGCCTCTTCCTTCTCGCCTCTGCAAAACACCCAGAATAAAAAGCAGAGAAAAGCAGCCTCTGCAAATCTTGGGACGTGGGTTTCAGTTCTTCCAAGCATCCTTGCGACCGATCAAAGTTTTGGATTCTCTAGGCTTGTTTGGTCCGTGAAGAAAGAAAGAAGAAGAAATGGTTGATTATGCAGGAGCTGCTGTGGGAACAACATTCGGCGAGCTGTTCGAGCTCGTTAAGCACCTAGTGATAACTATTGCTGCGTTTCGTGGCCAGCTAAAGAAGATCGAGTCCACATTGATCTCCATAGCCCCAATCATCGATGAGATCGACAAGTTCAACAATCAGCTGGACCGTCCGCAAGAGATGGGTCCTATCAAGGACCTATTAGAGAAAGGCAAAGGACTGGTCAACAAGTGCTCGAAGATCCACATGCTCAACCTGTGCATGAAGTATACGCACTCAAAAAAGCTGACCAACTTCAACACGGCAGTCGAGGAGAAGTTCAAGATTTACATGCCGCTGGTGAATGCGAGGAATGGCACGAAGGCATTGGTGGAGTTGGAGCAGATCGGGGGAGATGTGAAGGAGATTGGGCAAGACGTGAAGGAGGTCAAGGAGTCAATTTCCATGATAGTGAACACCGGTGCCCTCCAGAGCGGGTTTGAGGCTTCGGGCAACCTTGCAGTCCCTGCGGCGCCCCATTTCATTGTCGGGTCGGAGGTGGAGGCATCCTTGAGAAAGCTCAAGGAGCAGTTGCTCGAGGAGGGAGTGTCTGTGATTGTTGTGACCGCCCCAGGTGGGTGTGGGAAGACCACTCTGCTTAAGAAATTGTGTCATGACGCAGCAATTGAAGGTATATGTGATTATTATTTTGATTGATCCGGTTGGCCATTTACGTGTATAGGAGCTGTTGCCTGAACGATGTTCCACTTTTCGACATATTTGAATGATTGAATCCCATGACCTGTTTTCTCTGTCCAGCAATTCGGTTTCTGGTAGATGTGAATGTTTGCACAAAGAATTGCTTGGGTATTATACAGATGGATGTTTCATCAAGAAGAATCTTTTTCTCATCATTCCATTTCGGTTTTGATATCATGTGCAATCTGATAGATCTTTCCCAAGCTTTTAAATATGCAGTAACTTGCCTCTGTTTGATTGCGCTGTGTGCCTTTCCTAATTAGCTGAACCCTCCTCTTCACAGCCATAGGCTTCAGACTTATTATTTCTTCTGCTATGTGGTATCTACTTAGCTCTGAAACTTATCCTACCGAATTCAATAAATGGAAAGTTTTGTCGCAAAATTTCGTTCCCTTTGCGAGCGATAGGAGTCAGACTAACTGTGGTTTCCATATAGGCAAATTTAAGGCCAAAATCATGTTCGTCGCTGTCTCAAAGAAGCCCAACCTCATAGACATTGTCCAGAAGATGTATCAACATAATCAGTGCAAGGTACCCATGATTGAAACAGAAGATGATGCAGTTCGCTGCTTGCACCAACTGCTCAACGCAATCGGACAAGATCCTGTGTTGCTTGTGCTGGACGATGTCTGGAAAGAATCGGAATCCATCGTCGACAAATTTGTCAGCAATGATATCAAACATTACAAGATTGTGGTGACATCAAGATATTGGTTTCCTCATTTCAGTCCTGTACATCACCTGAACCCACTGACTCATGGCGAAGCCGTGGAACTTTTTTGTCGATGTGCAGTTGATGATAGAATGATGGGTGCACCAGATGCTAACCTCTTGGATCAGGTATACTCTTGCTTGCATGCATCCATTATACCATTTCCTATGGACGTTGAAACTCTGAGTTAATTTTCTCTTTTAAGATAATGTTTTACTCAATCAACCTGCCATTGGCTTTTACGGTCGTTGAAACTATGAGTTAATTTTCTCTTTTTCCTATGGACGTTGAAACTCTTGAGTCAATTTTCTCTGAGTTCATCTCTCTTTCTTCAAAGAGAGGCCTTGTTTTGTACTAATCATGATACCTATGAAGTTCCAATAATTGCTCCCTGTGGCAGATGGTGAAACACTGTAAGCGATTGCCATTGGCTATTACAGTCATTGCCAAGTCTCTCCGAGGAAGGGATTATTCATACTGGAAAAGAAAGCTTCTTGAATGGTCTGAAGGTCATTCCCTTTTTGATTCGGACACTGACATTCTAGCTTGCCTCAAGAAGAGCTTGGACGACTTGGATGATGACCCTTGCCTCAAGGAACGTTTCATGGACCTGGGCTCATTTCCAGAGGATAGCAAGATCCCTGCTACTGCCCTGATTGACATATGGGTGGAATTGTACAAGCTAGATTTCGATGGCGTGCGTGCCATGACTGACCTCCATGATCTTGTTTCTAGGAACCTAGCTGATCTCGTAGTCACCAGGTATGGCTCTGAAGTTCATTTGTTCCCTTGTTCCAACAATACTAGTTTTCTACTGCTCTAAGAGTAGCTCATCAGATTCTAGTTGCCATCTGATTACTTTTTCCTGATGCATGACTATTACAATGCATGTGGGAAATGGACTTGGGCATGACCAGATCTTTGCACCAAGATTGAGAGTAATTTGTGCCAGCTGATGACCCATAACTAACTAAATAAGTTTTCCGGTACCGTGACAGACTATCCTGTTTCCCCAAAACTGGGCATTCTGGATGTTTTGGATCCACACCTCCTGACCTTCAGCTGTAGTGTGTTCCGCATTGTAAAGGTCAAATGATTTATACAAATGCCTGTAAAGAACATTTCTAACTCCTGACTTAGTGTCTCAGAAGTGGGAAAGATAAGATGTCTTCATCTGCTATTGAATTGATATCATCAAATGCCTGGCACTAGATTTTTTTCACAAGAAACTTGAGCGCAAATGCTTTGATTGCATATATACAGGGGAGATTCAAGTGACGACAACGAATCTTACAGCAGCCACAATTACAGCAGCTACTATGTTCAGCAGCACGATCTGCTCAGAGAACTGTCTATTATGGAGTGCAACGAGGGGGAAATAGAGAAGAGAGAGAGACTCATTCTGGAGTTTAATGAAAATAAATTTCCTGACTGGTGGAGCAAGCAAAAACTACAACCTGTCGGTGCTCGTCTAGTGTCCATCTCAACAGGTTAGTAACTATCTCTCTCTCTCTCTCTCTTACAGATCTATAGGGAAAAACTCAACAGGTTGGTAGTCAATTACCTTCTAACCTTCTACAATCATAATGCAGATAAAAAATTCTCAACACCCTGGCCAAATCTTGAATTGCCTAAAGCTGAGGCTCTTGTCTTGAACTTCCAGAACGACATGCAATCCAAAACTTATGCATTGCCTGAATTCATTGAGAAGGCAGAAAAACTCAAGGCCCTGATAGTAACAAACAACAGTTTCTTTCCGGCTGAGCTACGCAATTTCCATGTCATTGGGTCCAATTTAAGGAGGATCCGCCTTGAGCGCGTCACAGTTCCTTTCCTAAGCATGGGAAAAATACGCTTGCACAGTTTAGAAAAGATATCCTTTTTCATGTGCGACATCAGTCAGACTTCGACATCGAACGACGCCAAAATCTCCGATGCAATGCCAAACTTGGAGGAGCTCAACATTGACTATTGCAATGATCTTGTGACATTACCGGATGGCATCTGTGAGATAAAGCCTTTGCGGAAGCTTAGCATCACAAACTGCCATAATTTCTCCGCTCTCCCTGAACAAATCGGGCAATTGGTGTCCCTTGAAGTGGTTCGACTTAATTCCTGCACAGCATTGTCGCGATTACCAGACTCGATTACAACCCTCGAAAACTTGAGACTTCTCGATGTGTCAGATTGCCTGAATCTGAGCGCCTTGTCTGATCAAATCGGTCGACTGGGTAATCTCGAGAGGATAAACATGAAAGGATGTCCGAGATTGTCTGTGTTGCCACGGTCGATCGTGCAGCTGAGGAACTTGAGGAAGGTGGTCTGTGAGACAGGGAAAAAAGTCATGTGGGGGCCTCTTAAGGACACACTTCCTAGCTTGCAGATAACTCCGTTTGAAAAAGTACATAGCTTAGATTGGCTGGATGATTAAGACGGGGTAATGAGTGGATTTTTTTTTAGCGGTTATCGAAGGTTGTTTTTTTTTTTTAACTTTTTAATATTGATGTGGACCGACCAATCATATTTTCTTTACTATTTTCAAGTCGGAAATTTCTTTTCTTCTAATATTTTCTTCTTCCCATTTATTTCTTTCTTCCTTTTTTCTTCCTCCTCCTTCTGCCACCAACAGCGATGCTGCAAACCATAACCACCCCGTCCCTACCATCAACCTCATCACCGGCGCCTAACTCACCGCGCCTTACAGCCACGACCACTTCAGCATCGCCTTCTCTCTCTCTCTCTCACCACAAGATTCACTATATCTCTCAAATCTGAGGTGCAAACTTAGATCTGAGCCACTACTGCATCGTATTTGAGGTCATGGTGGCGTTAAATTGGATGTCACAATAGTAAGCAATAACGTAATTCTTTTATGTGGAAAAAGTCTGAAATTCAGGATCCAAGATCTTCATGATTTTCACAATAAGATACATGAAGACATACATTTATCCATAGCATTGCTTTTGAAGATAATTGTCGTAGAAACACCCACTTTTCTCTTTAATATATTTTATCAGATGGATAATAGAGTACAATCATTCGTTCTAGTGGGTGGAGAAAGGATCAGACTATATTTATATGGGCTATCAATTAATGCCTTTCATTAAAGCACATTTCATTTCGTAAGTATAACACCTCTTAAGAGCAATTGTAACTTCTCTGTTTCATTACGCCTTTTCATTTTTTCCATAACCAATATGTTTTAGCACATAAATAATTATTAAATCATTAATTAATAACATCATGTGGGCCACACTTATTCATACAACAACCTTGAATATGAGGTAACGCGCTTCAAATCTGATGAGAGAAGGTGTTCTTACAATGTCAATTGAGTAAAACTTTTGATATCTGCGTTTGGTTCAATTTTCCCAAGGGTTTTGAGCCTCAAAAGCCCATCGGGGAAACTATGGGGTGTTTGGCAATTTTCTTTTGGATCTCTTTGGCCTTTGGCCAAATGTTGGCCTTGGCAAAATTGAAAGCCTAAGGCAAGTCCCCACCTACTTTGGCTTCCAACATTTGCGAAGGCTATTTCTAGGGTTAAATAAATTTTAATCTTCCAAAACTATCCTTACTAATTCTTTCGTTTTTCGATTTTGCCCTCATTGTTACTGTTCATCTTCTCTACGTGAGGGCAACCGACGAGGAGCCAACAAGAGCCAACAAGGTCATGTGACCGCCTAGGCGACGGTCACCTGGGTTTGCACGACCTTTGGCCTCGTCCCATGGGGTCTTGTGACCCTAGCGAGGGTTGCTTGAGGTTGCCAGACCCCAAGTAACGATCGCTTGGGCCACATGACCCCAAGCCACATCGTCTGGGGTTGTGCAACCCTCGCCAAGGGTGGCACAATCTCAGGGGCGAGGGTCACACAACTTTAGGTGGTCTTGCAACCGCCAATGATGGCCGCCAGTGCCAGATTTGGCTCACCAGCGGCCTATGCCCTTTGCCAGAGTCGGCGAAAGGTTTGAGATATTTTTAATAAAAAAAGAAAAAGAAAAAATGCAGCCAAAGTCCTTAGCAAAGATTTTTTTGCTAAATATTATTTAACCCAAAGTTGCTTTACAATGGATTTCTTACCAAACACAATTTGCATTTCCTTAAAACCCTTTATGCTAAAGGCTTATGCATTTTCTCAATACCCATTTCCAAAGCTGAATCAAACGCAACCGTACTTTCGGCTTTGGTGTGGCAATGGCTATCTGAGTGGCGCAGCGGCAGATAATCGTTGCCGGCGGTTGTGTTGATAGAGTCCACGGTGGTGGTTTTGGCAATGGGGGCCTTCGGCAACAGTGGTGTTGCGTTTTTTTAAGGGAAAGAATTAATTGAACTAATTTTCAAAAGTTCAACATCATTATGAATAAAAAAAAGAGTTTAGATATGAAATTGAATATTAAGAAAATATTGAAAGATGACCCGGAGAGATTGAGTTTCACAATTAGGGCCCGTTTGGCAACGTGCCAAATAGTGAAAATTTCTGTTCTTTTGTTTCCAGAATCAGTTTGGGAATAGAAATCCGTTTGTTAAAATTTTTGTGCCCGGGCACAAGTTTGCAAAAAATTGATCCCAGAATCAGTCTTGGAACAGAATCAAGAAGTAAAAAAAAGTAGCTTCTTAATTCTGGAACAATTTTTCCAGAACTGATTCTTCTTGATTTTCTTCTTTTTTTTTATTTGTTCTTCATCTTCTTCCCGGCCCACCGCCGGCGACCGTCCATCGGCGACCGGCCAGGGCAGGCGAGGTCGGCCCTCGCCGCCCCCAGCGACGGCGAGGTCGAGCCTCGCCCGGCCAAGGCGAGGCCGACCTCGCCGTCGCGAGGGGTGGCGACGGCGAGGTCGGCCTCGCCAGATCTGGGCGAGGTCGGCCTCGCCAGATCTGGGCGAGGTCGAGCCTCGCCCGGCCAAGGCGAGGTCGACCTCGCCGTCGCGGGGGGTGGCGACGGCGAGGTCGGCCTCGCCAGATCTGGGTGAGGTCGAGCCTCGCCGTCGCAGGGGGTGGTGAAGGGGAGGTCGGCCTCGCCTTGGCCAGGCGAGGCTCGACCTTGCCGTCGCTGGGGGTGGCGACGGCGAGGTCGGCCTCGCCAGATCTAGGTGAGGTCAAGCCTCACCCAGCCATAGCGAGGCCGACCTCATTGTTGCGACCAGCGAGGCTGGTGGTGAGGGTTACAACGCCCTCACCGGCCATGGCCAAGGAAAAAAAAAAGGAAAAAAGGAAAAAAAGAGAAAGAAATATTAAAAAATTCAAAATATTATTAATAAAAAAAATTTTATGTAGTTACCAAACGCATTTCTGTTCTTTTTCTATTCTAAGAATAGAAAAATTGGGCAGCTACCAAACGCATTTAAATGCTTATAAATTGTTCCCGGGCACAGAATAAAAAAGAATCATTTCTGATTAGAATCTGTTCTCGGGCATAGAATGGTTGCCATGCGCAGTCTTAGTTGTCTAGATTGACTTTTGCTTTTATGTTTTTGCTTAATTTAAAAGTTTATTTAAAGTGGTTTTTACTTTTGACTTGACTTTTTTTATAAAAAGTCGTGCGACACATGCAGTTTGGATTTTGTTTTTCAATCTTAAATGTCTAAATGTTTCACAATTTACAAATTCCGACACTTGCATTTACATATAATTTATCGGTAAATCTTCAAAATTTGAAAAATGTTTTAAATTTTGGTGTGAAAGAAAAATAAATACTTTTTTTAATTCTTTATGAGTTAAAACAAAGAAACCCTAAGCCTAATGATGCACACAATTTCACTTTTTTAACCCAAAAAACGGAAAACATTCACAACATATAGATATTGACACGTAATTTGCACAGCTTTATGAAATTTGATTTGATTTTTTCGTAAAAGTCAAAAAATAGTTTTTGTTTATGCTTAAATGGAAATAGAGTAGCTGGCTAATTTCTTTGGTTCATTCTCGGACACCAACCTTCAATTATGCCTAAACCCTATAGTATGAGAGGTCCCTGATATATGCCACGCGCGCACACATATATATTTATTATATAAAAACTTGTAGAAACCAATCAAAATATATGGTTAAGATTGCGGACGATACTTTTCCTAAGAGGGAAAATTTTTCCACAAATTACATACAAGCTGAAATTTTTTATTTCAATAACTAATACCCTGTTCTAACGTTTAAAAGTAATTAAGTTACAGTTAATAATGAATGGATTTGTTTAGAAACTAAATTTTCATCATAAAATTTTCTCGAGTGTATTTTGTTGATCTATTGGGGAAAATTAGAAAAGAATATTAGATTTTAAATTAACTAAACAATGTTTTTAGAAATTTGATGGAGGCATTAGCCAAAAATTTCCAAATTGCTGCTTGTAATGCTCATTATCTTTGGAAGAGTCGGTGAAATCAATAGGCCCACTAGGCCCGTCCCTGCTTGAGATGGATTACAATGGATGCAAATAGAATAGTCCAGTTCGAGAAAACAAAAACGATTTTTTGTTTAAGTAGCCATAGTCTAGGGTTCAATGTTGTACTGTGCCGGGGTAAGTGCGACTGGTACAAATTTCTTGTTTTTCTTTATTGATTTATTCGTTCTCATGACAATACAGCAATATGGTGTCAATTTAATGGAAACGCCATTTTTTGTAAGATTGCCACAAAAAACTTCTTGATTATAATCTAAATCGGTACACTAGTGATAAATTTATCTCAAGCTAATTTTTTTGTTACCAAAATCCAAACTAATTGGTACATATATGACAAATTTACCCCGAACTAATTAAAAGTCATAAAACTAAAACTCGAAACTGACAAATACTATTTAAATGCATGATAACTAGGATGATGCATTTAACTTGGACTAGATGCGCAGTAATTAAGAGTAGACCTTCCAAATTCATCCATCAGCCTTGGAGGCCAAATAGCCAACTTGGGAGATCAACTAATAGTGATTGAAATCGACCAAAACAACCTTCGGTTGTTAGGTAGTCGATAAGTAATGTGGTAAATCAACAACTAGTATGGTAAATCAACAACCATAAGAAGAACAACTTCAACATTGGACCCATTGAACAAGTTGTGGCCGAAATTTGATTTTGCTTAAATGAGTAATGATTGAGCAGGATCAATCAATGAAATCTGAGTTGGGCTCAAGAATTGTTTCATCGAACCTGATGCTCCTGCATCACTGTCTTATGCTGACACAATCAGGAAACATTGGAAATGAGCGCTTTCTTGATTCCTAGCCTAGATAGGATAGATTGGAAAAGGTGCGATTTGCCTTCTACGGTTATCATCAATACAAGAAAGGAATTTCTTTGCACTCTTTCTTGCTTCTCGTGGAACATAAGGGGTCACCCCAAGGTATCTTTATAAATTGTTTTATACCATGGTTTTCCGTTAGGTTAATACCACAAGAAATTTTAAATTATACACTCCAGACAAATTTACACCAAACTAGTTTTTTGATCACCAAAAACCCCAAACTAATTGGTATACATTGTAACAAATTTATTCCAAACCAATTTTTGAATCACCAAAAATCCAAACTGGTACACTCTTGACATATTTACCTTCTATTAACTTTTGTCAAATT